ATACCTGTACACACACACCTATATAAAAATCTATGTTTGGCTTCCAAAGATGAATTAAGAACATAATGGTAATGTGCCTTTGTGCTGATGGTCTCTGGCCTGTTTTTCTTTTTTTTTGCCCATTGCATCCAGTGGGTGGTTCTGCCACAGTAAATGCTCAAAGCAAGGTTTTCATGGGAGCCTTTGCATTGATTTTAATGTTTGTTGAATTTTTGTGTTGATGAGACAGACGTCTTCAATATTGAGTTGAACAATAAAACCACAAAAATTACAACAAAAAAAAATCCACGATTACAGCAATTTGCTGCTCACAAATAAACATTTGTTTTATATTGCAGTGATATGCGTTCATCTTTTTCAAATGAGGTGAGAAGTGATTCAAGTTGTTTTGACAACCCCAAATGGTGCAGGGCCACAGGGTGCTGGAGCCTCTCCCAGGTGTCTTCGGGCAAAAGGCGGACGACACACTGAACTGGGTGTGTCAGTCAGTCACAGGGCATGTGCAGATTAAAATCATAGAGCGACAGAGGGCATGTGCAGATTAAAATTAAGAAACAGACACTTTTTCAGGCTTACATTCACATTGTCGCTGAGTGTGAACCAAACCCACACTACCTGAACTAATCAATGACAATATGTCAAGAAATATTTTTATGCCATCTGCATTCATAAATGAATGAATGAGTTTTCAATGACAAATGTATATTTCTGCATGTATGCAGTACAATCAATATATTGCGCAAGACTTCAGTTGGTTCGATTGGAAAAAGTAAAAAATATCGATTCACCATATAGAGTAAAATATTTCATTGGTTTTTCAGATTTTTCTGACCCAAAGTCTACCATCTCAAACTATTACGTAAAAAAAGTATGATTATTTTTCCAATAGAAATTTGGAATTAGTCTTCTGAAAATTATTTTTCTGTGTTAAATGAATCTGTAAAATATGAGTTAAGTTTTAAAAATGACCCAATAACTACCGGTACTGAATTATATGAACCTTTCTACAATATTTAATTGGAGGTGCACCTGTGCATACTTTGCCGCACAGGACGTGGATTGAGATCCACATCCACTGTATCCTGCGGCAAATGACACTTTACTGAACTTGAATAACACATCATGCATTTAATTTAGAGGTCATCCTCTGCTTTGGGAAACAAATTCCTGATGTGTCACAAACCGAGTGGACATCCATCCTTGCATGCCGAGCCAGTTTGCGCTGCATTCAGCTGTCCTTCACCTTTGATTGCCACGAGTGTGTGGAAGCGGGCGCCTGTCGGAAGAGGCAGATTTTATTTTTTCTCTTTTAATTTCAAGGTCCAAATAGCAGACACAATGGAGAAGCACATACAATGCAGAATAACCAGTACACTTCCAGTTGCATACCTTTTAGTTAGTCATTGCAGCTCTGCGAATAGCCTCATGCTGCACTGTCTTTATTCTGTTGTTCCAAGAAACTGTACTTAACCATTGCAACACATTCCCCAAAAAATGAAATCAGCCTTAGCAGCACAGATGTTTTCATTTAACGCATGTAAATCGGATGTTACCTGAGCAGACCTGTGTAAATACAGCATACAGTACAATAGCGTGCATGCTACCTATCACTGCGCACAAGAGTAGCATGCAAACCCAAGAAAGGAATGGGAAAAGGGAAGCAATGGCACATACTCATTAAAAAATAAAATAACGGCATCATTGAATAAACACTCTGAGAAGCACTTTTACTCATAATGATATTTATGGCTTTGGATGTGATAATCATGATACACAAAAAGTCAAGGCAGGATTAAAATTCAACATAGGTTGAGCACGGGTGAGAGATGGGATTTAATAAAACCTGTCGAACTCATGTCTTACGATGTTGAATTAGGTTATGTAAGTAATTTTGCAAAAAATATTAAGGGACAATGACTACAATGGTTCATTAAAATATACGAATAGTAGATCTGCCACACATGCATCAAAAAGTGCTGCTTACATCATGAGTTGCTAAGTGGGTAAGATTTTGGACTCAACATTAGCATGTACAAATCTCTTGATGATTACCTTGAAAAGAAATTTTCAACCATAACAAAACCAATTTAACATTAAACAATATAGATAAAATGTTCTTAAACCAGAAGACTCATAAAAATGATCCCTTTGCATCATGTGAAAAGTCATTGTGCACGTTGTCAAAATGTCATAACAGTATGCCTCCGAACTGCAAGTAAAAAGTACATAACTGGAAATATAAAAGTGTAAACTAAATGCATGTTGAATGCGTGCTTCTAATCAAGCAGGGAGGGTTCTGAAGGACGTATGATGGTGGGTCTGTTGGGAGCAGCCGGGGGTCTTCTGCTGCAGGAAGACAGAAGTGGGATAGAATGGGGGGAGAGAGAAACATGCAAGGAAAAAACGTCATCAGCGAGTCATGCGCCATGATCCCCAAAGCACCACAAGCACCGCCACCATGGACTTTCCCATCACTTGCACTACACCGAAAAAAGCACCGTAAGCTCCATTTCCACCAAGAAATATGCTTTAGCACAATTATGAGAGCTTCCACTGTCTTATGTTCGGAAACGTACCAAAATAAATGACTTACAGTGGAGGTAGGCACACTGACTTGTCTGTTAATTGTCAAAGAGCAGCCACTTCCATGCTCAAATAGGAAGCACATGCAGTAAAAGGTTCCTCTTCTCAAACTTACATGTTGGTGTGTCCCCCGAACCCCATTTTTTGGTGTTGTTTGTTTGTTTAGTCTGCTATGATTCGTTTTTTTTTCTTCTCAATTTAGTACTGTTACTGTGTAACACTGACCACTGTTGCGTTAAGGATAGCTGCTTTCTTGCAAGCTCAATGTTGCCTTACTTTGCCTTAGATTTTATTTTATTTTTTTTGATGGGCCTTTTAGTTTGGACTCATCCCACAATCATGATTTAGAGAAGTCCACAGAGCGCTGTCTGCAGAACAACATAAAGTGGTCTCTCTACTTCGTTGAATTGTTGTTTTGGCCTTTTGGGGGGCAAAGTGGAGCGGGTTGTTAGATTAGGCCTTTTGGTGTAAATAATCAGATCAGTAAAAGAGGCCTAACTGAACAGGTTGGTTTAGGTTTTTTTTTTTGTATCTGCAAGTAATAAAAACAATTGCCTGATTGTCTTCTCATAATAAAGAGACTTTTGCAAAGCCATTTGTGTTGTATGTTGTATGATGTCACACTCTTCATGGAACTGTCTCAGCAATCTCTATCTTTATAGCTCTATTATTGTTAGAAATGCAGCTGATGTTGTTGCTTACCTTGGGATGCCCGGCGGCAGCGCAGGAGGCACACGTGCCGGTCTGGAGGGAATCAGCGGAACGTTTGGATCAAAACCGGACTGGGCAGGCGGTGGGCCAGGTCGAGTGGGGACAGGTGGAGCCCCGAATGCCGGTGAGGGATTCAACGGTGGGGCAGGACCAGGTGTGGGTCCCCTGACTGCCGGGGGTCGGTTTGGAGGGGGCGCGGTTGCAGAAGCAGGGCGAATTCCTGCAGGAGGACTGGGATAGACAAAAATGTCAGTACAGTTGGGAAACATACAAGAATGAACAGCATTTTTGCAGAGGTGATGGGCATAGAGGAAACAGCAGTCAGGTATTTACAGCTCCAACGTGGTGAAAGACATTGCGGGAGTATTCAAATTCACATTCACTTCTGAGGGAATGACATCATCGTTTTCAGTGCGTTGGCTCTACTCGCCTGTCCATAAACACTAATGGAGGAATAAGTAAGAGAGATTTGCCTTTTCAAAGCCAGAAGTGCAGTTACTATTTTGAGATTGTGTCGGCTAAAAGCAAAAATATTAAGGTTTATTGCACACGCTGCTGTCTCCAGAGGTTATTGATCTTCAATAACCGTACGTCAAAAAAAAACAAAAAAAACAACAACAACAAAAAAAAAACATGGACCACAGCGCAGTAGTCCTTGAACGAAACCTGGCGAGAACCTAGCATTTGCTAACTTCATAAATATACGTAAATGTTCGCCACTCAGTGGGATAGGGGCATTACACATTTAGCATCTAACATTTTTCATCTAATGTTAACATTCAAGCTAGTAATGCCACACATTCTATCCACACTCGTTACCTAGACTCTTTGATCCAGGTGTCATCTACTGGTGGAGGCACAGGGGTTGAAACAGTGGTGGTACTGATGTCACCAATAATGACCAGAGATTCCTTCAGAGCATGGTACATCCTGAGCAGCTCATCTCTCCTCTGAGCCTGCTCAGCAGACTCTTCCATTAGGCTGCTTTGGTCCCCAGCTGAGTACAGGTAGGCCAGTAGCTCAGAGTGGATGAAGTCCTTTGCCTGGTTGTCAAAGAGCACAACAATTCATCCGTTCATCTATCTATCCATACACAATGTGTGTGTGTGTGTGTGTGTGTGTGTGTGTGTGTGTGTGTGTGTGTGTGTGTGTGTGTGTGTGTGAGAGACATTATCATCAACATCATGCGGCCCGTCCAGAGTCCCTGAACAACACTCGCAGCCTTTCTGAAGTCAACATAAAACAAAAGTATGAGTGTCGCTTCTATTTTAATGTGTCGGGAGCGCGAGCGATTATTCAAACTATTTCCTGCTTCATAAAAAGGCAGCAAACCCGTGTTTGACATGATTGAGGTTAGCATGTTGGTGGAGCCCTCGACAACCGTTTCAGTTTCTCACATGGCCCCTTTGAAAAATGAAATGCCCACCCCTGACTCATGGGATGTTGCAATCAGCTGATTTAGCAATGTTCTCTGTCCTCAATCTTTTTATAGCACCATGGACCAGTTTCATGTCAAGACATATTTCGATAGAATAATTTCTTGTGGCACATACAATGAGATGCTGAAAGCCTCTGCAGGTGTCAATAAAAAAGGGAAACCTACATTGTTAATCATGAGGTGCATAATGGTCTTGGGCATGAGGTCTCTGATGGACTTGTTGACAATGCTGATATACGAGTCCACCAGGTTGCGGATGGTCTCCACCTGCCGTTCCAACTGTGGGTCCATAGACACGGTGTCGCTCGGAATCATCGCATCTTCATTTTCAGTCTACAGGGAGAAAGACATGCCAAGTGAAGAGATACATACATAAAGATACACACATATAATACAGCTATTCAAAACATTTCGAGTTACAGATAGGATCACAGAACCGATTAATTTTGTAGGTAGAGGTACCACTGTGCTTATTTGTGTACGACACAGAAGAAGAATTATCCCATTTTTTTTCAGATTTTAAAAACATTTTCATTGATTATTTTTAAAACTTTTAAAATCCGTCAATCTGACCAACAACAAAAAAGCAGGTTTAACACAACATAGTTGTGGACCTCTATGTTCTGTATCCAAAAAAAGGGGCTAGTGACTACTTATCTGGAAAAGTTAACGGTAAGTGTAAACCCAAGTGTGCTTTAACCATCATCGCAATCTGGTCCAACAAGTCCAAAGTGCCTAAAACCGTAACTGTCACACGACTACGAGTATCTTCAAATATCACCTGTTTAAAATGTAAATACCTGGTCTTTCTCAGGGTAAACACCAGCTCTGAGGAACGAGGCTTTCCAGCTGTCAACGTCCTCCTGAGTGTCACACGCCAGCTCGATCTGCCGCAGGTCTTTGTACACGTTTCTGTGTGATAAACACACACACACACACACACACACACACACACACACACACACACACACACACACACACACACACACACAAATACAATGACAGGACAGGTTACGATGTTCAAAAGGTGTAAAGGCGCAGTCGATGGCAGCGGTGCACTTACCTCTGCTCAGTGTTGAATATGGCAAAGACGTGTTTGCTGGACATGAAACCCTTCTCCACATCTCTAAGCTTCAAGTTGTCAAGTGGCAACATGTACTTCTTCTCCTTCTCCTGATTACACAACATGCGATTCGCCACTTTACTATGTAAAATCACTTGTGGGAACATGATAAAGAGAGGTGGGCATTTTCCCAAATTTTGCTGGTCCGTCATTCGTCAGCGGCCTAGGCACCGGTCCGACACCTCACTTTGTACCAGATATCCATCGATTAAGCAAATGTACGTAACAATGTGAATATAATGAGTGTGTATTTATTTGCAGTACTAAAATTTAACCTTTTCTGACAATTGTAAAATTTACCCCAGTTACATTTGAGCATTGACCATCTCAAAGATGTGCACGAGCTGGAGCTAATAGGCTGTTACAGTTACACTACCAACTGTTGGTCAGACACGTGTAGTGTACTACATTCAATATTTCTTTTAAAGAAAAAAAATGTGTTAAGAGCAATACAAATGTCATGCAAATGCGACAGCTGGAGCGAACAATTTTTTTAAAAAATGGAGCACTGGCCCATCCTTACTTCTTCATCTTTGTACCAGGAAAGGGACTCTGCAGTGAGGACGAACCAGTAGTCCTTGGAGCCTCCCTTCATGATGCTAATGTTGATTGTCAACCAGCCTCGACGGATAACCTGTGCATGAGACACAAACACTTTATGACTACTGCATGCACAAACCACAAGAACCCCCCATCCCCAAGAAAACACCCATTTGAAAACAAAAAACAAACCAAAACAAACAAAAAAAAACAACAATCCTGAGAAATTACAAAAAATAAACATGCAAGTTAACCAAAAAAAAAAAAAAAAAAAGACACGCACACTCATAATACAAACTCAACAGCTTGAAAGAGAGTCACCTTCCCTGCATCCCTTTCTCTGCCAGACTTAGGCACAAGCAGACAGACACAAGGGAACGTGCGCGTGAGGAAAAACGGACATTTGTAGTACACCGGGGTGTGTAAAAGTATTATACAACTGGAAAGTAACAGTTGCAACCAATTTGTCTAAAGGTTTATATTTGTGCACTTGTGCGAGTGGGTTCACGTTGGGAATAAAATTTCACTTTTGAGCAGACCTATCTCAGAGTATTACTTTACCCCCTAAACTGATGTGAGGGATTTGATGAAAAAAAACATTTCTCAAGACTCATCCATGAATGATCTCTTTCACCCTCCCCTGCCCCCACTGTCACAAAGTTCTACAAAATGCTCAAAAAGATGGTTGAAGGACAGCCACGCAGGAGAAAAGGACAAGAGATGGAGGAGGATGCTAAGATACTTACAAGAATCTCTCCCTGGACCATCAAATGTAGGAACAATACGTAGAGTTAAAAATAAACAAACAAACAAAAAAAAGTTCACAAGGGCAGACGCATGTTAATGGGAATCAACAAAAGACAGCTATGACATGCAACCACAACTGACCAAGACATATAAAGAATCACAAGGCAACCAATTACCTGGTTCGGCATGACTCTTTTCTTGGTGGCATTCGCAGCCGTCCTCTGCTGCGCACTGCAAGATCAGATGTTTTGCTTAACTAAACAATGGTCTACTCAAGATAGAGTAAAATGCATTTTTATTACGGTAAGTAGGTAATTAAATGATTTGTTTTTTTTTCCTGGGAGGCCCAAATTCACTTTCTTTATTCTGATTTTAGTACACTGTCTATCATGCATGTGTACAATGGGTGTACTGTAATTGTTTTAAGCACTGGGGCTGACCATCTCTCTTTCTGATGGGATTTTATTACAATCATCTTAAGAAGTTCCTTTAATTCATCATAGTCATTGTACATGCTATTTATTTATTAATCACTATTGTATATATAAGGCAATCTAAAAAAACACACACACAGAACTAGAGTGAGGCAGAAAAAAAATAAACAACTGTTCATCCCCTTGAACCGGAAATAATATCTCACTTGGCAAACCCGATGAAGTCCTCATGATTAGTGTTGATGTAGGAGAGTTCAATGTCAATTAACAGGAGCACCTGATGGGCCAAACATGACAAATATTTGCTCAAGACCTTTCAAAGTTTCAACGTGCACGCATATGCGCACTGACCTGGTCTTTAGTCTTGCTGTCCCTCTCTCTGATGTAAGTGGTGACAATTCGCTCAGTCTCTTCTCTAAGGCGAGGATAGGATCCAAGCTACAGACAGCAAAAAGAACACACACTGCTGCAGGTACCGCAACGATAGAAACTACACAACACTGTGAGTGCGTGTCAGCATAAAAACGCTGTTCCACACTAGCACAGACAGTTGAAGTGTGCATTATTAACAAATGCATGAAGCAAGAGTAAGACATGCAAAATTAGTATGGTGAGACCTCAGAGTTCAACCATTTCAGATCAAATAGAAGAGGAATTTCTTTTTCATTTTTTCCTAAATGAACATGTAATGGATTGTGTTCGACCTTTGAGGTTCCACTGTGTTAGAGTAGCGTAACCTCAAACTCTGCCAGAACATCAGTGAGATACTTGAAATGATGAGTGCAAAGAGCTGTCGTGAGGAAGGAAAACAGTTTGAAGGACAGGGAATAATATACTTTTGATCAAAATACAAGGCAGGTTCCCCTTTCGAATTTATGATATTCCTTAGCGTGTCATGGGAAATTGGTTTAATCAGTGAGAGGGGTGGTTAAATCACTGCTCTTCGGGCGGATGGGGTGAAGAGGGCTGGTCAAGGTCCAGGATCAGAAGGGGAGGGGGAGCGGGGGGTCTTAAATTTAAAGAGGGAATCACAGGATGAGGTGGGTGCTGAGTGAAGCCTGTAATCATTAACAGCAATTAGACAGCAACACGTTAGTGCTTTTTCTCTTGTGCATTGTTCTATCTCGGATTGCGTTTTATGATTCTGTCGCACCACCTCTCCGCATCTCCCGTTTACCTTTTCGGTGCACTTCCTTATCAGGGTGACAAGCTCGGTGACGACGAGGTCAACGCATTTCAGACAGGGGTCTTTCAGCTTAATGATCTGCTTTTTCACTATAGCTTCAAACGCCAAGTCAGGAGTGAACAGGCCTGTCCTGTGGTGATGCATTATGGGAGTTGGACAATTAATGGAAGATGAGCTAGTGTAGCATTGTATAGAAAGGTGGTGGAGAAGGGTGGCAGAGAAAGGAAAGCCCATGTTTGAGGAGTAAATAGTGATGCCAATGAGGAAGACTATGACAAAAAGGGAAAAAAGGGAACATTTGAGTTAGTTCTGCTTCATGTTCTGGCTAATTAAACAAGCTGTAGGTTTGCACATGAAAAAATAAAGCGAGGGCATAACTTGATTCATTATTTAATGAATCGAGGTAACCCATGTAGTTGCCACTGGATCACAATTCTTCATCTGACCAGGAAGTTTTATCCAAATAGTAATTTGTAACAACAAAGTGAAAGGCGCAACAAGTTTGCTTTCACCTTACAGAGCATGACTGTAACTGTGCATAGTTTATAGCAGGAAATGCTGAAAAAGCACTATCTGCCACAAAACCACAAACAAAACTGACGCTCAGAAAGAAAGAATAAACAAAGACAAGTGATGATATTCACCAAGAAGGCAGAAATAAAAACTAGTAAAGCACGGTGACAGCTGAAAACTCTGTATCTCACATATCCCTCCTGTTTAAGATACTGTATATGTGGAGTAGGTATATGTACCATATAGTATTTTTATCTGGTCAATGTTAGGAAGCATCTTATGTGAACATGTTCCAGACAAAAAGATTCAGTGGTGGCAACAAACGACTCTACGACCAATACATTTAGGTGAGATACAATAAAGTTATTACATGTCTCAACTTTACTGGACTCTTTCTTGATCTGTCAGACCAAGTCTGAACTAAGAATAGTGGTAGAGCTTCAGTTTACTAGTAGAGCATAAAGTACATCATGACACAGACCAAATAAAGCTGCAAAAAGAAAGAGAGAGAGAGAGAGAGAGAGAGAGAGAGAGAGAGAGAGAGAGAGAGAGAGAGAGAGAGAGAGAGAGAGAGAGAGAGAGCTGCAACTTGAATTGTTACGAACCGGCACAGGAACACATGTAGACCTGTTTCTGACCACAAAGCTTCTCAGAGACACCACTGCGGTGAACCCAGTGCAGCTCAGACTTTAAAGTGCAAAACTAAATCAACTTTTAAGGGAGACATATTATGATTGCCCCATCCACTATTTAGAAAATGTGGCAGGTTAACCCCCATTACTGCAAAACCAATGATAAGTATGCCTTTTGTTAACACGATGACTGGCGTGAAAGTGAAAAGTGGAAAATGCAGAGCCCAGATGTGGACGAAAAAAAAAAGTGAGTATTTTTTCCTAATGCAGGAAGCACTTCAGAACACGTCACTGAAAATCACCTTTTGAAACATATGTAAGACAAACAAACAAACAAATATTTGGCTGTTTAATTTCAGACTTGATGAGTCGGCCTGCCCTCCAGAGGCCTAATTATTTGTAAGCAATGAATAGGCCACATTTCCATAATATGTCCCCTTTAATGCTAATGTGAATATGAAGTGCAAAAACGTGTAGTTGCATTAAAATGGCCACAAAAATGCTCCTGGCAGCACTGCAGTTGACTAAGCTCTCTGGTGTACGAGCATGGCAGATACCATGCGGTGATACCTTATTAGTGCACTGCCTGACTGTGTTGATGAGCTCCTGGATGACCATGTCGATGCATTTCAGACACGGTTCTTTCAGCTTAATGACCTGCTTTTTCACTATGGCCTCAAACGCCAAGTCTGGGGTGAACAGGCCTGTCCTGAAGGACATACAGATGAAACAGACATGGAGCAGGAAGACAGGAGGAGCACATGGAAGGACCACTTAACCAGAAAATAAGCCAGAGTATCAAAACAGATCCAATTTTAAAAACACCACAGCATGATGAGTCGTAACATGAAGAACATGGATGTTATCAGACTAACAAACAAGGGAGAGCGCTGAGACACAAGCTAACAGAAGGAGGCAAAGTGTTTATATGCAGTATGTTGACTGGCTGTTCCAACTTGCCTGACTCCATGGATGTTTTTGATTGCGTAACTGATCTCTTTCCTCAGCTCCTTCTCATCAAACTCCATCTAAGACACAAAAGAAGCAAAGTCTTAAATACTTAATAGAACGAAAGAATGTTTTAGAAAGTACATCCTTCCAGGCTGCGTGCTTGTTGCCATATGCCTGTGAAAAATGATCAGCCTTTATCCGTCAACATCAGTCATGATCAGATGCTAAGCTACCCGAATGAAAGTGAACACCGTAACTATAGTTACCTTCACCAGCTCAAAAGGAAAACGCTCGTGAAAAATGCGGTTGATCTTTGCTCCTCCAGATAAGTTGGAGGTATCCACCTGATCCCCCGAGCCTTCGATGCACTTCTCAAAGTCCACACCAAACTGCTGTACCATCCTGCATGTGAAGCGGTGTCATAGTTTTCAAATATATTAATGTGTGTGTGTGTGTGTGTGTGTGTGTGTGTGTGTGTGTGTGTGTGTGTGTGTGTGTGTGTGTTTGTACTGACTGAAGCAACGCCTTGGTTTTGCGTGTAGGATCATCAGGACGAAAGTTTTTGTATTCCTCAACCTCTTTCTCAAGGGAGAGCAGCTGGCTTTGCAGCTTGCTGCGCAACCCTGGCAGAGTGTCACGGATGTGGTTGGTAAGTTGCTGAAGGAAAAAAAAACCATTTAAATTGAACTTCAATATTGTATACACAATAATACAATAGGTGAAAAACATCTCGAAGAGACATTTCTAGATATGTTTCTTGAATAGTTGAGTGTAAATGCAACAAGATGACCTTCGAAAGTCAAGCAGATGTGACACTTCTCTTTTCTTGAAACTGGCTCCATCTGCATCATTTTTTTTTCTATTGCCCAATTTGTTGTGTTGGGAAAATTGTACCTACGTGGTTATGTACACTGCCATCTAGTGGCTGGATGCTGTCACTTCATCGGTAACGATCGCTATGCCTATTGCTAAATTTGTTGTGTTGGGAAAATTGTAGCTACGTGGTTATGTACACTGCCATCTAGTGGCTGGATGCTGTCACTTCATCGGTAACGATCGCTATGCATTGTGGGAAATGGAGTTAGACCTCAGTTTGGAATTTTAAGGTCTCACCACATTAAATGATGTGGCATGCCACATTTGGCCCATGTGTTGATACAATACAATACATCCTGATTTATATGTTTGACAAGTATGTGTTAGGAGAAGAACATGAGAAGATTACATTGTACACAGAACGTTGTCTGCAGGGCAACATCATGCGTGCCGTGTCGAAGTTAATGTTTTATTACTCTTACATGTTAATATAAACATTGCGTAGCTTATTTTAGGCTAGGTGTGCAGCTGACCTGATTCAGTGACTTCTGCAGGTGTGGCGTGCCCATGCGCTCTGCAAAATGTCGGTATGCAGGATGGGACAAAAAGAACTTGCGCTCAGCAGCCAAAGCAGCACGGATGTCTTTCTTCCCATCAATGTCCTTCTGACTGCGATTCACCACCCCAATGTAACCTGCAGAGGATAAAGACAGAACATTTTATGAATGACAGTGAAGGAGGCTCTGAGTTGGAGGTTCTTAACCTTGTTGAAGGAACGGAGTGTGTGTGTGTGTGTGTGTGTGTGTGTGGGTGTGTGTGTGTGCGTGCGTGCGTGCGTGCGTGCGTGCGTGCGTGCGTGCGTGCGTGCGTGCGTGCGTGCGTGCGTGCGTGCGTGCGTGCGTGCGTGCGTGCGTGCGTGTGTGTGTGTGTGCGTGCGTGCGTGCGTGCGTGCGTGCGTGTGCATCTTGTCCGGCACCAAACCCCTGAGACTAGCACCCCGATTCCCTGGGTGTTGTTCAAAGCCAACTTAAGAACCTGTGCTCTATAGGCATCAAACTGGCCAAAAATGGACATCTTTTTTGGCTCTCTCTGCTTCAAAAATGGGTGCACCATAAACAGCGGGCAGGAATAGTGTCTATATAAGTTTGTTGAGTGTGTATGTGTTTTCACCCCTGCGAAGAGGAAGCAGTTTGTTTTCCAGAATGTCTCGAGCATCAGTCCCCTCATCCATCAAGTCCAGCTTGGTAATCACGCCAATAGTCCGCAGACCTGAAGACAAATATGTCACAACCAAAAATGGCACCCCAATATTTATTTCACACATTCAATAGAATTTTAGACACTATTCATTCATTGACTCAATTACTCAGCAGTGGTCCCCAACCTTTATTGTGTCACGGACCAGTTGAGACAAGTACATGCTGTTCGCGGACCAGCAACCATTTTTTAAATTGTCAATTTTAAAGTGCTAGTAAAGACAACACAGATAATTTTAGACAAATTAACCATTTTCTTAACATATACATTTTTTTCATTCATTTCAAAGTGTTATTCTAGACACAAAGACAGAAAGACAAAAGTCACAATGTAGAGAAAAGGTTGTGAAGAGAATAAGCTAACAAGGCTGAAAAATTCAAACGGCCACAACCGTCCTACCCTGAGGATCGACCTCCTTGGCAATCTTGAGGGCATCTGAGTTGGCCAGGTCAGTATTTGCGGGAGTGACGGCCAGAATGAGGCAACTCTCCTTGGTGATGAACTGAAGCAGCATGTCTCTAATCTGGTGTTCAATGTCTACAGGCTGGTCTCCAACAGCCACTTTTGTCATTCCCGGCAGGTCAATCAGGGTCAGGTTTAACACTGAGAGTTATTGACAGAGGAGAAAAGAAACCTGAAGCAAGAACACGGAAAACGTTTGTGTGTTTTATCTCTTAGTGGGTGTTTTCCTCACCATGGGGGGAATAGACTCGAAGGTTGATTGGAATGGGTGAAATGCCCTTGTTGGATCCGGTGAGCCGGTCAGTTTCTGCTTCAATCTCCTGACGGACTTCGTCAAAGTCCACAAATTTACGGCCCTTACAATGAAGGAACTCTGCATACTCTGCATGAAAACAGAGAACATGAAAATAAGATGATGCAGAGAACGGAAAAGGCCGATTGCGTGCTATAAGACAAATTTTAAGTAGCTATGACAGCCATATTAACTCATAGGGCCATATTTTTGTTCTCTACTAGTAGCACAACTGCACGGTCACTACTCACTTACTAGGGGTGAACAATTACCGTATTTTCCGCACTATAAGGTGCTTCAGAGTATCAGGCGCACCTTCAATGATTTTTAAACTGTTTTCGTGTATAGGACACATTACTATTCCATCTGTTTTACTCCTGAGGGGAAAAGTGGAGATGTTTGTTTTGAGTGAGGCACTAATTCAGACATCCTCCATTTGGGGGAGGAAGTTAAGAAAAGTCAACATGTATTCAACCCACAATGGGGACATTTGCAGGAACACATATATGTGTTTATGCCTCGAAGTACCTATTCCACTTGCCTGCTTTGTTGTTAACGAGTTGCAGGATGAGTGGACGACGGGTGACGATTCCAGACCCTCTGGGCAAGAAATCTCTGCAGGGGAGAGAAAAGTGATGTTTAACAAACACAATAATAACAACCTAAATATAATACTGTATATCAGGATCAGTATCTCTTATGGCTGCAGCACTATAATAACACAACTGCAATGGGCAGTTCAGAAAAAAATAATTGGTACCGCCCTACCCACTCTCGAGGACTTGCACACCACTAGAACCAAGACAAGAAAAATCCGACTGGACCCCCCACACCCTGCACACCACCTTTTCCAGCTACTCCCTTCTGGTAAGCGCTCCTGAACCATGTGCACCAACCTGCATTCATTCAAACAGCTTCTTCCCTCTCGCCATTGACTCCTTAAACAGTGACTCAAATCTATAGTGGCTCTTTGTATTTTTGCACACCCCAGTGGAACAGTTTTACGGCAATGATCATTGTAGCTCCAGCTCTGTACATACTTGGACGATTGTCGCTTATTAATATTCCACAGCACCAGACACCTTCAAGTGTTCAAGGACTTTCTGTATAATTGTACACCCAAAGTTGAACTACAACTTCTACTAGTCACTTAGAAAATGGTGCAACGATTATCCGCACCAACTGCACAACGGTCATAGTATTATATCGCACCACTGATCACTTATCTCTGCTCGATGACTCTGCACATTGGCACACACTCTGTCATTGGATGGTACTACTGCACAATTGTACCCTTACATATTGGAAAGTATTTCGATACTTATATGTCATGTCTTTGTTTATCGTAGTTGCTTGTTATTGCAATACTGGTGTAGCCTATACTGCAGGAGACAAATTCCTTGTGTGTTCTCTTTCCCTTTGTGCACATACAATACGAGCTCATCAGAATGGAAACTCCTGTTCAATAGAATTGTGATTATTTCCAGGTCAATGATGACACATCACTCTCGGCAACGGCAACGTGGCTGTCCTTATTAAAGCCACACTGATTTGACAGTCTCAACAAAATACACACATAGTATCAAACGTAATAATACGCAACATGAAAGAAGCAATAACGCCCAAAGCAATGTTGACACAAATGTTAATGTAATGTAATATTTTCTGACTGACATCATTTTGTTTTGGAGTTGTTGAAGTTTTTATGGTTATGTTACGTGATTTCCAGAGCGACTGACCCCTATGTACAGTAACTATCACTTCTTATTTCAATGGGAGTGAAAGTATATCAACTTTACATATTCAACTTTACTTGTTCAATACAACTTTTTTGGGATCCATGAACAATTATGTGCAAGTTGCTATTTTCAGACATTTTATTGCTGTAAAATGTGACATGACATACCACATTTGTGTACTCGGCAGGGTTAAGTATTTCAAAATTGATTCTTATTTGCAGTGTTGCAACAATTAATTGGTTAATCAACAACTAATCGGTTATCAAATAGATAATTATTTGTTATGGACTCAACCAGAAACTGAATCATAATTGTTTTCTGCACTGCTAACTTAACTTCATGTCCTCTTTTTAATGACATGATGAAAATTAAAACTTGTTTTAATTCGATTTATGGACAAAATTATGTACAGAATAATTGATTATTAAAATAATCATTACCAGTATTAATAATTATAATGTAATTGTTCTCACACTTGTGTAATCATTATAATGCTGACATTCAACATGTTTTCTTTTCTTTTGAGAGAATCAGTGATTCAATGGTTCGCCACTCCATGATTCCATACTGGTGAGCTATTGCTTCCCCAATGTAAAATATACAACAGAAATTCAATATATCGGTCAAGCCTGCTACACAGCATCTTTTTAGCAAGTTAGCAGGTCTGACAAACACAGACAGACACACACACGCACACACTAACAACCACTCACACCCACTACGCCTGTTCTCCAATGCTGACGGAGCATTCAGGAAGTTACACAACAATCCCATCCTCTTTCCTTCGTATTTCCTATGACTTGCGAAAACACCAAACCAAATTCTGTGACTGGATATGAATGTTGAAAACATATCTTCACATGAAATGACTGAAAGATCTGTTAAAAAGAAAACACAAATGGAATGAAAATAGAAATACTGAATGGGAAAATTCATGGGTAAGTCAAAGTACAGTACATTGAACTCTGACAGAAAGTCAAATGTAAAAAAAAAAAAAAAGGCCTCAAAGATCTACTTAGTATAACATTGTAACAGTTGATAGACCTCAAGTCACAAGAGGAACAATCACACAGAAAATGATGTAATATGAAACATTTTAGTTATATTTTAGTTCACATCCATGGAAAATCACCACATTTTGCAAGTGTGTGCATCCTGTGAGTTCCAAAACCTACTCGTGAGTGCTCCCTGTAAAATGTGCATAAAGGCCGTACAATGGTTACAATGTGGTATGTGGTAGACACGTCTATCATTCCAAGATTTAGGTCTGTTACCCCTAGCCCAAAATACAAATAATCTTAATCAATTGGCTTTATCTAACCACCCTTATTTCTGATTGGTCTCACCAATTGCCACTGTGGGGCCAGTGGCCTTAAATACTTGAACTTGGAGCAAACAGATTTGTTAATTGCAAATGTTTGACTCTTAAAAAGTCACTCCAACCGTCAAACGAAACAAAGAATATCAACAGCTTCATTAGTGGGCTCATAAACAGACATGAAATAGCTCAGGCACCCTTTGTGAGAATCTGCTTGAAAGTGTGTCATGTACTCATGACAGTGCAGCTGGTGATATCACTGATGACCCCACACATCAGCACATCAATGGCCCTACTGTCTCCCCCAGAAACCGCTTGGGACCCAGACAAAAGGCAAAAGGGGAAAGGAAGGCATGGCCGCGCAAGCCACATTCCCCAACTCAACACTGACAGCATCATGAAATGTAGACCCGTCAGATGTTCCTTTTCTGAGCTCGTATTAACAATAATTTCCTGAAGGAAGTTTTTATGCGCCTGTATTACCAATGAAGTTCTAACAGTTGGTTTCTTGTTATTTGTCTGGAGGGGGACCTCATTAAGATTCTGTCAGTCTCATGCGAATAGCTCACAAATTCAACAGTGCTGGCATCCTAAAAGACTCCAACCGGTTCCACTCATTTCTGCTCATTAAATCTATTTATCCAGAAAACACAACACTCCGGGGCACAGGTGTCAAATTCAAGCCCGGGGCTAGAACAAGCCCACAAAATCATGTTATGTAGTGGAGCTCCAGTATCAAAAACAGGTATCCATTCAATTTGCTGTCTATATGTAATAATGTGATTCGGTGATCATGTATTTGTATGTTTGTTGGAGACATAAACGTCTTCTGAGGGAAACCGTAACTACAATGAGGCACGGGACAAAAATGAGTTGTACTGTACTAAGCCTGCTGTAAATATAGATTTTAAAGTGAGACATTGACCTGAGCTATGTAGTGCATGGCCAATAAAATATGTTTACAGCCTTAGGGGAGTGTTCTTAAGGAGCTCTGACTTGGTTAATGTTTGACAGAATTGCTGGAGCTTAGCGATCAGACAAAAAAATGTTCTATTGTCTGTGCAATTACGCGCGTTTATGTGTGTGTTTGGTGTGTGTGTTTTAGCTAATTAAACCGTTAGTGTTTTCTTCAATAAAAATACGAATTAACTTGCGTCAAAAGCGTAATCGTTGATGGTGAATAGCTCATCTTCTAAAAAGCAAAGAAACCACAGAGAAAGCGCCTTGTTGGCGACTTTTACACGAGACACAAGTAGCGGAACGAGGAGCAAGGAACTGAAAATATTTCACTTCATAAGTATCACACATTCACAATGAAAAGTTCACATCAACAGTACAACCTGCCAACGAAATTCTCCAGAACGGAGCTCTTCCCCGCGCTCTGGCCGCCGACGACCGCTATTTGGGGCAGTTCCAAGTTGCAACTCTGGCCGATGGAGCTGAAAGCGTCCTGAAGCTTGTTGATGAGGGGAATAAGGTCTTCCATCCCCCGGTTTCCCATGGTGGCACCCCGATCCGCTCAGCGGGCTCCAAGTGCTTGTCTCCACTGTCAAAAAGAAGGCCGATGGGTCGCTGATCAAAAGTTCCAGATGTAACTGCGCGGTCAGTCAAATATGTAGGATTTTTTCCCCTCTAGTAAAAGGAGGTGATAATAAACGTTGACACGTCTAGGATGCAGTAAAATAACAGGCAGGCTTAATGACGATGTACTGAAGCCACATTGAAAACTTCTGTCATTATCCGGTCAGGCGACACACGCACACGCACACGCACCTCACACGCACACACACTCAGTGTCAGACAAGAACTCAGACCCGCCCCCGTAAAGCACTCACCTCTCTCATTGGTCCTTTGAAACGTCCGTCAAAACCCACATACATATTTCAAGATGCGTTATAATAGCAATACGGACGGTAAGTTGGAAAACTCGTAAAGCCACACGACCTTAAAGCTTGTCTCAAAAGAGACAGAGCTGTGCAAAAAACAATTACAGCACTAGGTGGCCGTTACTCTACAGAAGATGACGTTGACTGAGTAAAAGGAAAGACGTCACACAAGGTCACGTTTTAGCATTCGATCAAATTTCTCAGCGATGTTCACAGTTCAGCCATCAGAGGGCGGAAAAAGACATAACGAATATGATGAAACGAGAGTACCGGTAATAAGAGAATTCTCTACCACATACAGGGGGTGTCAAACACAGTTTTGTGCAGGGCCTCATCGTAGTTATGGCCGTTATAAACACAACTAAATGTATGATCGCATCATATTAAATTCACACAACAAATTTATGAATCAATGGTTGTGGAATCAAAGGACTGGAAAAACTGTTAAAAATCTTATTACATTTATTTTAAAATGAGAATTGGAAACAAATGCTTGCAATATGTCAACATTTTTAAAAGTGAAGATAATAAGCAATGTTGGTATTTCAGCAAGAAACATTAACCGTTTTTCGCGGGCCACATAAAATGTGAATTTTCACCGAACCTAACATGGACCTGCATGTTTTCAGAAAGTGAAAACATGCATTCTGAAAACCACACAAGTACCACACAAGTACAGGGAAATGTCTAAACTGCACGACTGGAAGAAGTGACATTCAAACCCAGAGCATAACAACTGTCAGGTAGACGTGCTAACCACAAGGCCATGTACTCTCTGCAAAACAAAATTTTATTGGGTGTTAGTGCAACACAAATTAAAGGTATTACAAATTGCAAGGCTGGTGATGTCATGGCCCTCTGGGTTTTGTTACAGTGGAGTAGATAGTATTTGCCACTGGAATGTTGCTAAGGTGAATGTCACGGACAGAGGAGTAGGAGCTATTTTCTTGAGGCTCAAGGTTGGAGTTATGCACCATTGAGATGTTGCTTGAGTCATGCTGAAAACTAACACTGGAATAGTGCACAAGGTCTGTTGGAGAGCTGATCATGGCATGTCCTGGGAGGGACTGCATCTGTATCTCCTCATACAGGTGATCGGCAGGATCTCTCTGTAGTGGACAAGAAAAGTGGGTGATGATTAGAGCTGTAGAATCGAGATAAAGACAATCACAAACACACCCAACAAACCTCAATGTTGGGTCCACAGTCTGTCGCCTGCGCTGATGATCCTCCTGCAGCACATCACATCAAAATAATTTGAAATGTTTGATGTCTGATAGTACATATGGCTCAGTTTGGGCACCGCTAAGCTCCAGCGGCTAATTGTTGTGGACTAATTTGTTTCTGCTTTTGTTAATTTGTTTTCTGAACTGGTAATTTGTTTAATACAATATAAGTGTATTTCACAGTTTTTTGTTGTGCACTTATCAGGTACCATAATAAATGGACGAATATTGCTGTACGAACTGCTTGCTTGAAATTGCAAAATACAAAATAAAGGAACAGTACAGTAAAGTACAGTACATTTAATAGATGATGACTTTATAAAAAGTACAGTACATACAAAAATACAAAACACTTATTTAAATGCATAATAAGTTAGATAGTTTTGATAAAGACTTAACAACAATCACAACCTTTATAATTACTGACTGTAGAGTAATGACTTTCTAAAATGTGCTTGTGTGAGCCCAATGCTGTCCTCACCTTGTTTCCTGATGAGTTTGTATCTAAGCACTGCAAGTATGAGGACAGGTACCACCGACAATATGGAACACAGCAGAACAAGTACAGCCAGTTTGATATCTGAAGTTAGATAGGAATGGGAGAGGACCATATCAATATGCGTGTGTGTGTGCGCGCTTGTGTGTGTGTGTGTGTGTGTGTGTGTGTGTGTGCGCGCGTTCAGCCAAAAACATAATATACTCACCTTTGACCATACTGTGTGTTGATGGTGTTGTCGATGAAGAAGACATAGATGGTGTTGGTCTCATCACTGGTGGTATTGTTACATGTACAGCAGGACGTATTGGTTTTTTACTTTTGTTTCGTTCACCTGAATTAGAAGCACAGTACTCATCAGAACAGCACCGCTTTGTAACAACATCACTGATTGTAATCCACATTATTGAAAAAGTAAACATACTCATGTTTTGCAGTTGCATAAATGTCCAGTCAACCATAACTATATTTTTGTTACAAAATGCATATTTTTAAACTGTATTCCATTACACTTACAGGAAAAAAACAATCAGATTATAGGTACAGTTATTAAAAACGGGTATCATTTAACAGGATTACATTTTCCATGCAGACGGAATGACATCGTGGTTTATTTGAACCCTCAGAGGAACAACTCAACTCAACTCTCAACTCAACTGTATTTATAGGGTAGAAAGAAAAAAGATAAATTGTTACAATTGTCGTGTAGCTCAATTGGCCGCCGTGACTCCAGTCACTCGGCGCGTTGTTGCTAAACGGCTGTAATGTACAGATGAGGAGGTGGGAGAACTGACCGTGTCGTGTGCTCCTCACAGGAGGAAGTGGTGATGCTGTTTGTAACGTACACACTGAAGGACTGATTTATCTTACCATTTCCAAGGGAAGGTTTGGGCTGTCAAGAGTCTTTCTGGAATGTTTTTTTTTCTTGTCCCAAGGGAATTTGGAACATGTTCCAAAGCAGAACATGTTTGGAACATGTTCCAAATTCCCTTGCAACAAGAAAAGTACACGCTAGATGTTCTCCAAACGCTTTCGTGTTTTTTCATGTTACAAGAAAAGTACAGGCAAATGTCTGCTGATCATTTGGCAAACAATACGATCTTGAATGAGAATGCAACATTCGCCACCTTCGAAAACACTTGCAGTTGTTCTCAGGTCAATGCGATCGGGGTTTAAGCCCCGATCCCACTGAGGGCAAACGATTGTGACTGTTGGCGAAGGTAGAAACAACATGTGTAAAGGAAGAGGTCCAAACGGCTTGTCGTCCTATTGCTTTGTGAGGACAACAATAAACAACATGACTGACAATGTGTCACTTCTACTCACCAACATGAAGTTGCACTTTGGTGTATTCACTTTGGTTCCTGTTTTTCTTAAAGATACACCAATATGTTCCAGAGTCTTCTTTATCCAGGTCACTGATGTACACCGAAAAAATTTTTTTTCTTTCATTTACTCTCAACAGTTTGGTTTTCTGTATCTTTCTCTTGCAACTGAGAGGGTTATCTCCTTTGCACACGAATTGATCATCCTTGTCATGGTTGCTTGGATAGGGGCACTGGATTTGGACAGATTCTCCAACGTGTTTGGATATTACTGTTGCTTCCAAGTCTTCCCAGTCTGAAAAGAAATCAACATCATCCTTTGCTTCAAAGACACATCTTGGGAATCAAGAATTTAGACCCTTGGCCTCTTTGGATGTCATTTTGCATTGTCTCAGCAATTTTGTTTTTTAACCCAGAAGAACATTTCATAGGTCAATTATGTTTGAGAGAGGGCCTGCTTCACCCACTCTGCTGTTGTTTATTACAAAGGTTTTGTAATCAGGCCGAAGTCTGGGGTCCATAGAATTGTTAAAAGTATGTTAACACAGTGATTGATTAATTTGATTGATTTGTGGTCCAAGACATATATGTGCATTTAGTAAATAAGGGTGTCATTCAAATGGGATATCTCTATCTATACACGATTCACATATGTGCCATGTGCAATATATACAGTTGTCAGTCCTTTTCATGAGACCCAAGTATCACTGTGATAACATCACTGGTCCATTCGTAGATCAAAGAAGTTTGCTGTTCAGCTCCTGGTTAGCGAGTATGCATGGTGTACAACATGGGCGTCATTAGGCCTATTTTAGGGAGGCTTCAGCCTCCCTAAAAATGTCTTTAGCCCCCCTGAATAATTTCATTGCATTATTTAAAAAAAGTATTATTTATTTTTCCTGTAGTTTTGCTAATATATTGCATCAAATTCAATGTAATGTGGCCATTTTAAATTATATTTCGATAACCTGCCATTATTGTGAGGTTAAATCTCCCAGGTTTCCTGAACGCAACAGGTGTTACGTTAGCATTTAACGTGTCTGTCACCATCGCCACATCAAATGCGACGCTACAACTGACAGTTCATTGCCGAAAGTCAGGTTGAGTCGACAGCATGGATATTCGACAGTTTTTTAGAAAGGTAAATTAAGTATTCAATGCATCCATGCTGGTAAAACTGGTGACTATAGTCCGCTAAAATATCTCCAGTAACAGCAGAAACTGCACTGTAACAAGTGTTCACTTTTGGATAAATTAAGGTGGTGCTTAATAAAAATTAAGCAACATTTTATTATTAAATACATAAATAATCATTACACCAACTCTTTGAGGCAACACCTATTGAGATTTTGGCCTATATAAAATAAATAAATAAATATAAAATAAATAAAGCTTACAGTAAGTATTGAGCAGCAAACTTGTGTTTTTCCAAAGTGATGAAGCTTTTGCATCTCATTGTACTAACTTAAATTGCATATCACGGCAGACATCTCAAAATACATTGTCTTCTGGCGGCTAAGCATATATTAATACATTTTGGTAGAGAGGAATATAGGACTACTGTCATATAGGTTATGTTATCGGGCATCCTTCTAATTCCCTTGAAAAACCAAGATTGAACTTTTGAACTCTTTATAATTTCTATTATCTAGTCCAGTTAAAGTCCAGGGGAGGAAGCCCCATCATAGTAAAGAGGATACTAGTGTGATGTGTGTAGTTCTTCATAGCCTCTTCATTTTGCTCTCAAAGTGCACGGAATTGATGGATTTTTAACAGAATGTAGAAAAAATTTCTCCCGGGGGGGCATGCCCCCGGACCCCCCTAAAGGGGCTGTGTTCCCCTTGGGGCTAAGCCCCCCTTGTTCTTCAAACCTAGTGACGCCCCTGGTGTACAAACAGGTTCTGAAACATTGAACAGGTGAATGTGCATTTCGAGGTGTGGACAACAATTATTGACAGAAGAACATTTCGAAAGGAATTTAGTTTAAAAATTATTCACTCTTGCACATGATCAAGGGCAGGGGTTAAGTAGGAGTACAGTAATTCATAAATACCGATCCGTCCATCCATTTGCTTTTCCCGGGAGCTTATCCCAGTTTACGATTGGGTGAAGCTCCCTGAAGATGTAGCACTAAGCACAACACGAGGTTTATCAAAATACAGGTTTTATTCCTTGGCAACCACTGAGAATTTGTCACAAAGACATCCAACAAATAAATAAATACAAATGGCAGTTACAATAATGTAAGCTTTTGTTAAATTGTTAATTATTATCATTTTATATTTGAGCATTATATTCTTTTATGTTACATTATATTCTGTTTAATAATTGCTGAAATACTCTTATGTTGCTTGCATCTGATTGGCGAAAAAAAGCAGGAAGTGTTTTGGTTACCTGAAAGAGGTGTGTTCGTTCGAGAGTTACGGAGCAGACGTTGGAAAATAAAAAGCTGTGTTCAAACGAAGTCCATCTCTCCTTTTTGCCCATTCCGAACGTAGAGCCATCCATCCAAAACCTACGACCCCTCAACTTACAATACAAATGAAAGACAAAAGTTCTAAAGACAATCGATTCGACAAACGGCGCACAAACCTCTGGGCTCACACCCACAAGGGTCACCTTCTTCCTTCGTTTAGTCAGTAGTTAGCTATTCTTTGGCATTATCGTTTCATAATGTTTGTGCAGAGTTCATAAAGTAGTCGTCCGTCTGAATGCGCTTTGGTAAATGCGCTTCTAAGTTACAATTGGTTCCTGTTCCTGCTAATTATTACCACGAGATGGCGTAGGAACACAAACAAGGCAAACAACTCAACTGGGAATATAATGAGACTGTTAACGATGAGGGCGGCCGGGTATTCTGGTGGTTAGCACATCGACTTCACAGTGCTGGGGGAACGGGTTCGATTCCAGCACCGGCCTCCCTGCGTGGAGTTTGCATGTTCTCCCTGGGTGGGCTTTCTCCGGGTGCTCCGGTTTCGTCCCACATTCCAAAAACATGCATTGAACACTCTAAATCAGGGGCCCCCAACCTTTTTTTGCCCCACGGACCGGTTTATGTCAGACAATATTTTCAGGGACCGGCTTTTAAGGTGTGGCGGAAATAATACAACAAAATAATATGGTATGACCTGCATGAAAACTGTGGTGTTTTCGAAATATAATAATAAACACAAGGAGCGTCTAATCTGGCCGCAACACTCCGATCGCTATGGCAATGTTTAATGCCTTCAAAATACGATACAACGCAAATTCGTTAAAGTGCATGAAAATGACGACTCACCACAGCACCGAGCTTGATTTTCTGCAACCAGACGGTCCCATCTCGGGGTAATAGGAGACAATGACACCTCAAGTGTGTGGTTTAT